CAGTCTTGGTTAATAGTCCACTGGGTCATTTCGAGATCGTAATGTTGAGGTGAATATAGGCAAGATCGCAGCTGACGAGATATTCAATGCAGGTTGGTCCAGAACTGCTGATACCGGGGTCGGTCCTGGCTTCCTTGCTGTGAAGCCGGCTTCCAGCCAGCTGGATCATAGACGCCAATTGGACGCGACCTCGTCTCAGCAGCTGGTACCAAACACTCGTTCGATGCGCTGGAAGCTGACGAACCAGTAGTGCGATTTTCGGTCGTGCATGTGCTGTGGTGGTATGTGTGCAGACTTGAGCGATGCCATTTCCCACATAATCAACGAGACGGTGGTTGGACATAGACTCTGAGCAGAAGAGTGCTTAGCATCGAGCAGTGGATAATGCCTGGTGGTCGAGGGCGGCTGCCTTGTTACTCAGGCCCTTCGGAAAAGCTGCTTCGATCTTGAAATAGTCGGCCTATTCCGATGAACAAATGGGGCATACCAATGTCGTATTAAGATACAAAAGTAGTAGAGCGTGGTGCAGCTCAACTCCGGCACCAGCAAAAGGTCTGTTGTCCGTGTGACCTTTGGTGACAGGATTATCTCCGTAAGTGTTGCCGTTCGCTGGCATATCCGAGTATAAACACCGACAGAAAGCACAAGGACACTTGAGCATGAACTGACTGTCAGTACCCTCCAACGAATATCTGTACGCTTTCAGCGGTGTGGTCCGGGCAGGCATGTAGTACGCCCGAGATGTAGTTCATGTCTCTGGCGATCGCCTTACACTTTTGCTTGACGATAATCTGGCATTCTTGTTCGTCGGTATGTGTAGTGCTGCACTCGACCCCCTTGTACTGCTTGTGTATATCCGTATACAAGACACGTGTTGTCTCTCTAATGCGATCATCTCGCTCCTTCATCGTCCAGCTGTTCATCCATTTTAGTGTGTTCCGGTAATCACTGGTCTTTTGCCCCCCAGCTGTGGCTCCGATATTGCCATGTCTGGAACCGACTACGAACGTCAAAGGATGCCCAGAGTTCAGACGGGTAGCCTGGATCGTAATGTTTTGGTACTTGTCCCCTTCTGCTTTTTCAAGGATGCTAGGGCAACGATTGCAGCTCTGCTAGAACTTGCGATTCGGTATGGTTTCTGTACATCCATACCACGAACATGTGGACGGCGAAGGTAGAATCGCTAATCTCTGCTTTGTTTTCGGGCTCACAGCCTTGAGTTACCTCGCTAAGACGAGCATCTAACCTTTTGGGTAGCAGGATTGTTCGCAGTGTTACCTAAGGCGTAGTTACGCGCAATAGTTCTTTTTCGAATATTCTAATAGTATTTTATTAGAGGATTAGCTTCTAGCTACCTCGTATACTAATACGGCTCCTATATTACGAGTTCCGGCTATTAGTCTTCGATCTCGCGGTAAAATATAGAGTACTCGAGTATAACCCGTACCTAGCCGGGCACTAGGTCTCGAGCCGTATATAAGAGATTTTGAAGCTAGTCGGAGCCTATATAAAGATTAATAGGAACTTCGAGTTCTCGGCCGGTATTTCCTAATACTACCGGCTTCTACTCTATCTTCCCTATTTACTTCTATAGTTATATACCGGTATTATCTTTATAAATTTACCTATTTTACTCGAAGTAACTATATACTATCGACTATATTAAATAGCTTACTATATATTCTACGAGCAAATAGCTCTTAATTACTTACGCTATTATTATCTTAGACGAGCTAGTTTGCTACCTAGTAGTAGCTAACTATATTACGATATCGCGATTATAGCTCGTTTCTAGCGTATTTATACGTTTCGATTCTTACTACTTACTCTTAGTAAGGACTAATAATAGTACGCAGCGCGTCTATTAAGAGTCCTTAGTATACCTAGTAAGATTTAGAGCCTAATTTAATAGAAACGTAACCTAGCTACTTCTACGGCTTATAGCTAGCTTTATATATTACCTAGAGGATTATTAAAGCTCTTTTATTATAGAATATTACCTATATCTAAGTTCCTATAAGATTCTATTTTCGAGTCGTCTAAGCGTAGTCGTATTATATATTTTTAGCTTCTATTTAATAAAGTAGCGCTACTTAATTTAGGCCGAGATTATAAGTTATATTTATAGTATAGAGAGAATAAGATAGAACTATAAGAACAAAATCTAGTATCCTTCTAATAAGATTAAACGACTAGTAGTAACTAAATTTAATATAAGTATAATA